ATATATATATATATATATATATATATATATATATATATATATATATATATGAATATATAAATATATATACATGAAGCATCAAATTCCACCGCAACTATTAGCCTCCTCTAAAAGACCAATACACTATTTTATCATTCATTTGAACAGATGACAAAACTCATCAGCTTGTGATACATAAATATGAAAAAAAAACACTCTGAACGAGAAATCACTAAAACTAAATCGATTTCTCCTAATAAAATCAGGATAAAATTAATATAGTTTAACTCGTTAACAATAGAGATAGATGAATCTATTCTATTCGCAATAATACTTTGATACTTCGGAACATCATTAATACCTTAATAATTTAACATTTAAAAATTATTGCAATACAGCAACATGTAAGGTGAAATTTAATCAATACAAGTGTAAAATATGCAATTTAATAATAAAAGTAATAACGATAACATCAAATAAATAGAGTGGTAATGCAAATCAAAACAGAATATTCAAATTTACTTCAGCATGAAAAAAAAGTGAAGTTCTGTTGGTATATGACAATTCTATCTCCTATGTCTCTACTTACAACGATTTCATCCTGATGAACCTTTATATCACCATCTCATCTGCTCTGTAAAGGGATTATAAAACTCAATTAGCATAATCTCCTAAGTCTATCAAATAAAAATGATAAATTAAATGGCAAGAACTGCTCATCAATTTAAAACTTTTTTTTGAAACAAAATTGTTTCAATAACTCGAAAAGTTACCTACATTTATCACATTGCCTACATTAATGATTAGAAAAAATAACTGCAAATTCTGGAAGTGTGGTCCAATTAAAGATAATGGATAATTGAGTCGACCTAACTTATCTAATTAAAATCCTCGTCTCATACATATTAATCACTTAGCATTAAGTACTCAAGGGAAAAATAAAACCACAAATAATGATGATAAACACATGGAACACGTCATTCGATTCCCATATCAAATTAACGTCCTCTCCTATCATAGAACCCTTACTTCTTACTCTCTACTTATTTTTAAATGATTTAAACAGTAATGCGACAGTAAAAACAATTCTCCGTCACCACACTAACCCTACTTTCACTTCCCCTTTGATCTCTTTTGCTCATTTGCACATTCGATTGTTGCCATTCTCACTGTAATACAAATGAGCACCAAAAAATTCGATTCCCCCCTCCTCTTCCTCCCCATATTCTTATTAAACTGTCTCCAATTCTAAACCTTTCTTCTTCTATGAATTAAGAATCCCACACTGCATATTCATTATATTATAACATTAGTCAGACTGATGCAAACTGAAATACAAATTGAAATTGAACAAAATCATTGGACCAACATTGATCGAACTGGTTGGGCAAACCTATATAGGTAAGAGAAATTTACCGGATCTATATAGGTTGTATAACTTAACAATCCTAAATAGTATATTCCGTTCCGTCCGAATTTCATTTTGACCAGCATGTAAGGAAGCACCATGAAAAGTATATTCAGGAAAAAATTACACAAATAGATTATTCTATTATGAGGACAAAAAGATTAGAAAACAGAAAGGAGAAAATCCCACCTTGTCTTAAAAACAGCATCTTCGTAAGGGCACCATTTTCTCATTATGCCAACTTCCAGAATCATTCGCAGTATTCGAACCCAAAAGCAAGCGATTTAGAATATTTACATGATTAAAATTTAAAACATTCAAAGTCAAGTAGCTACGAATTCAAGACATGAGACTTATTGTACATTGACAAAGATATTAAAATTGTAATTTGCAGAAGGCGATAACAAGCAACAACGAATTCGAGAATGGTTCATGAACGACGGCTAAATGGAGCATCTGTAGATGAAAACAATCGAGCCATATCAGCGACCGATTTACGACCTGATCTGTTGTCACCATCTACGGTACAACTTACCGGACGAACCGCAACAATCTGGTCTGGCTTGGGTGGCAAAGTCGGGGGTACCAAATGTGCACCAGCTTTGTTTCGTCGTGGTACAATGGGTGGTGCAACTGTTGCTGAAGCACTGGTTGGTGGTGGTAACGGTGAAGCCGATCGCTGGACTGCTCCGGAACCTGCACTCATAAAATTATCTTGGGAAAGAGGTAGCGGAGCAAAACTACGCGTGACAGCTGGTGAACGCGAACGATATCCATCACTGATCGACAAATTACTGGAATGAGCGTCAACCTCTGACTCGCCAGGCGAGCAAATTATCGGCTCATCAGCTGCAGTATCGTACACTGCAGAATTCTCACCATTTTCGCTTTCACTATAACTCTGATGAGTTTCTTCCAAGAGTATCTGAGGCTAAAAATAGAAATCTTAGTTTAGTTCCGTTCGACTTTAAATGCTGAATCCGCTGCATCTATTACGAATTACTTATAGCAAGTATTAGTCATCCTTAACGGCCACCAACCTTGATCCTTTTGAAATTTCTCATCGGCCTTGGGCGACATTTTGATGGATGATTCAAAGCAGAAGGCATGGGAGGAGCATCTAAATTCACCTTCTCTCCGATTTCATCGTTGGAAAATTCCGAAACCACCGATTTCGGACGGTGTGATCTAAAACAACAAAAGCAGGTGCGATGCTATCGTAAATCTCTAAAACAGTATGAAGCTGCGTAAAAAAAATCTTGACAAGGAAAAAGAAAAATCTACAATGATGCGTAATGGGTAGAATGCGTAGATGCGTCAAGCAGAGTCACGCCTTACCTAACAGCATCCGATTTTGTTGAATTTGATACATTGATCCTGGGTGAACCGTCGACTCCATTTTGTAACCCTATATCATCTTTTTCCATATTGTTGCGCTGCACACGATAATCATTTGCAATCCCCTGCACAGTTTCACTGATCAATTTCCACTTCGTTTTACTGGAAAAATGATAATGATTGAAGAAGCAGAAATGACTAATACGGCGATGTCGGCTGAAGTGAAGCCATATTTCATATTCATTCATAATAGATTTATTTCACCATTTCTGACCATTTCAGGGAATATCAGCAATTAAGCTGACATGTCTCTCACCAGTTTAGCTAGTCAAAAGATAGTATATATCTTAGTTTATTTGGAGCTTCCAAAAGGTACAAATAGAAGAATTTCCAAAAGGTCCAAAGAAAGAAGAAAAAAAAAGGCAACGTTTTTGTCATAATAAAAAAGATTTCAAAAGAAATATTTGGAATTATCTTAAGTTTTAATCAAGTAACTGATAAACATAATCCAAACTTGCCATAAATAACTGATGATATTGTTCATTAAAGCTGCACGAGCAAGTGAATTGTGTTTTTTGGCTAAAGCATGCTCACTTAAACCTTCTTTTTCAGCTGCTTCCATAACCGGATGTAACGCTTGCTGCAAAAATAACTACTTTATGCTTACGAGAGAGATTCATCGTTCAGCAGAAATACGAGTAGTAAGAGTACCATATACAAAAATGACAAAGATTTACGTAAAGTACAAACCTTAACATTGCTGAGCAAAGCGTCATCTAAACTAGACATTACGTCATAAGCTACTTTTTCCAGTTCGATGTCCAGCTGTTCAGATAAGTCTATTGCATTCATCGACCGTTTCAGTTCTTCGAAACCAATTCCCGAATTTCCGACATCGCATGATTCAATTTCCTGAAAATTACAGATAATAAGAGATTCATGGATTGATTTGAAATAAAATAATGATAAACAAAAGAGGATTAAATCATATGATCTTATAGCTGCACCTGTTTTGAAGCAATCACCGAACATATGTACTGCTTTTCAGAGTGGCTAAATCCTGCGCGATTTTTCTCTATGCATGCTTCAATCTGAAATATTTATAATTGCTTTTTGAAAATTTTATGGAAACTCTAATTCAAACATTTATTCCCCATAAATTTGGCAAGATTTTAAAAGTAACAATGTTACGAATATTATTAGAACAAATTTCGGCTTATATGAAGCCTACCTCAGTGAGTGCCGCCAGCGTTTTTGCACGATCTGCTCGATTCAGCGAATCCGCTGCATCAATTACAGGAAATGGAAGAGAAAGGAGTGTTGAGTTACTAAAAATAAAATAAAAAGAACAACATAAATGAATCAAATGATGTAAACAAGGCTTTCCTGAAAATATATATATAAATTTTTACGGTCTAATTTGCCTACCACACCCACAAACCAAGGACTTCGAAAGCATACATATTATTATGCTACGATTCCAAATGAAAATATCTCATTCAAATCATCATTCTTCATCATATCATAAGAGACATATTATTATGCTACGATTCCAAATGAAAATATCTCATTCAAATTATCATTCTTCATCATATCATAAGAGACAATTGATCGATTGGATCTACTGCTCCAAACCAAACTTTATTTAAAAACTAACAGTATTAAAGAATGTGCAATATCTACATATCCATCACCGGTGATTTGATTCTTATCAATAAGAACCGTTTTTAAGGAAGTATTAATTTGTAGTGCTTTCGCCAAAAGGCGGGCGCCAAAATTACCCATTTCATTGCCTAAAACAGAAAGACAAGGATTCCATACTTCTCTTAAAATAATATCAAAAGTAGTGAATATCTACATCCAAACAAAACATACTGAAAATTACCACTTATGTCAAGATAATACAAGGAACACGCAACACCAAGTGTATTTAACAGTATGCTTAAATGTGATCCCAACCGGCAATCCGCGATCGACAATTCGTTTAATTTCTAAAACAGAAGCTTTAATTTTTAAATTTTAATTTGCCCAAACTTTTTATTACTCTTACTTACTGAAGTTCCCAATGTATATTTTACCATGTTCTTTTCCTCTATCGGAATTGACTCATTTGTGAATTTTCTCACTAACGAAAATAACTGGTTCATCCTTTATAACCTGTTTCTACAACCAGTAATGTTTCATACTGATTAACTACTGAATACTTCCATTCCTCTTTCCACTTTACTTATTCATCCTGCCAATGAAGCATGCATATACAATCTTAAATCTAAGAAATATTTCTCAAATCTGAGGGTATCAGTAAGCTATCATCCCAATAAGTAATTCACATTTCCTCAAAACGAGTAAGGAAAAGGAATAAACCATCAACCAAAATTGTCAAGACTTCACTTTCTTAGGCTACCTTATGAAACCATTACTTCCAAGTATGCGATAAGAAGCAAACAAAATTAGAAACTCTTTCATAAGATGCTACATGAAATTATGTCAAAATTTACCGAGTCATCCTCCCCAACAAGTTTGACAATTTCCAAGAGAATGTTGGATACCACTGTGGTATTCTTCGTACCTCGCTTGCAGTTTGGAAAATTTACTCCACTCAAATCCAGTTTGGTGAGATGACGCATTTGTGAAGTCGCCAAAACTACTGGTAACAATTCCGAATCCAAATTATTATCTTTTAGTGATAATGTACAAACATCCACTCCGATAAGACACGTCTCCAGCACACTCACTGAACTCCTGTAGCAGTCTCATAAAAATGGTTCTTGTTCATTTTTTTCTAAACCGACATGGAAATGATTTTGTATAGACCCCACTTTTTTACTGGTTGTTCCTGGATCGAAGTCAGCAATGATTTTACTGGAATCATGCAAAAAACAAATTGTCTCAAAAAATTGAGAACAATATCAGGTATTCTGTTGGATACCCTACGTTCTGAAAGGGAGGCTAGATAATGCACTGCAAAATACATTATTCTTCGTCAAACGGAGAACCTTGAATGACTGTAGGTAGAGGAACCTTAAAGTATATAAGGTTATTAGTATGAGCTCAATTTCAAACATAAAAATTTTGATTTTAACACCAAATTTATTACACTCACCTATCACAGACACCATTCAAACACAAAGTGAATGGTTTCAGTTGCTGATTACTTGCAAGACCAAGAAGCAAAGCCTAAAATCATTCATCATATAACTGGAATAATTTTTAATTAAACCAATGATAAATCTGTTTAAAAAAAATAAATTTAAAAGAAAAAAATGAAATGCCAAAAAGAAGTCCCGCTTTACTGCATTCATAATGTATTCTACTCCAATACCCTTTGTTTGCCACTGCTAATTGACTAGAATATGACAGAATAATCCAAGAATTACAACCTTTAGAATATCCGCATTTAATGTGGTATTCGAAAAATCAAGTTCTTTCAGTGCTACGGCAGTAGAAAAATATTCCTTCATTTGCTGTGCACTTTCTTTGCTACGACGACCTGCTTGACAACCTGCTAATCTGGAATTAAATGACATGAAATAAAGGATCGATAAAGTATCATTTCTCAAATAAAACTTAGGATGAACGCCTGTATTAATGTCGGGGAAGACTGAAGTACAGAATATAGCTGATAGGATGGTAATGCAAAAAAAGGGCATCTTTACGATTCATTTACTAACAATTTGAGAAATAATATTGTTGCCAATAGTATTAAAAAGATTAACGAACTTCAGTATTTCCAACTGTAAACCGCCATAAATGAGCGAAGCCCATAACTTATCGATATTAATACCAGTCCCAGAGAGATTCAAAACTCGAAGACTGATACACAATGATAACAACTGTAGTAAATCACTGATATCCTGCATATGCTGATTAAAAGTAAAACCAAAAGAAAATTAAGTGATTAATTTTAACAGATTCTACTGTCTAATACATTCTGCAGGATTACATTTCACGAAACGCACTCTGCTACCTATCTGCATTTATCAGTCGATTAATTATATATTACGTATCGTATCATGTTCAAATTTCCATGCCATTTTCAGTTCTATTTCTTTGCTAAAATTTTTCACAAAAAAAGATATTTGAAGCTATAAACATAGGTAAAAAGTTTGTAATTGATTTATATGGCACTTACATCTTTCAAATTGTTCCCTGAGAAATCAAGCGTGGCCAGAAATTTACAATCAGTATTTGATTTGATCCCTTGCAAAATTCCATAGCATATTTGATTAACACTTTTCTCTGTCATCGCACATTCGGAAAGTGTTAACGAATGTAGTGATGTCAGTTTTGATAGCAGAGACGATAAGGCGATGAAGCCTACAACAAATTTATAATAATAAATGCTGATTTATGGTATGTAACACTCGTTTTACAAAATCCAGATGAAAAAACATCATTAAGAATCCGCTTTAGAAAAAATACATGGATAATGAAGCATTTACCTTTCTTATCATCCAACACATTCTTGGAAAAATCTATTTCTTCCAAAGAAGGCGTATTACTTTGTAAAGCGTTCGAAAACGAAGCAATAAAATCTCTGAAAAGTTTGACAAAATGATAAAGCCTTAAAGTTATATTAAAATTCGTTTCTAATTTTTACTTCGCAAAAGCCAATGATATCAAGGATTTATAAATCCGTTTCATTTTAAAATATTTGAGAAGCAGAGCTTAGGTCACCATCTGAACTCTTCAATCTTTACCCTATCGCGAAAACACGGTAGCGGAACGACAAAGTGGAGAGGAGATAGTAAATATCTTTTCAATTAGAATCTAATGAAAAAGAAAGCTTACTTTGGAAGAGCGCAGCTACGAAGAATAAGTACTTTTAGAGAACGCGAATTACGAACAATTGATAAGATAATGTCTACAAGATCTGAACCTAATTTAACATCATCAATGCACAGGCCCGTAAAATAGCAGGAATACTGACACACAGCTACAATGGGTAGTAAATCTCTGAAAATATGAAATCGTAACCAAATCTTTCCATCTCATTTTTTTGAAAAGTTCAGAGAAAGATCCTTGGCTCTTGGATGATAATAAGATTTAGTGAATGTGCAAACATATCAAGAACTTGGCTTTAATACACTAAAAATGATTACTTCAAAAACCTTAACTTGAATGAAGCTCAAATTTTTGACCCTGAGGATATATGTATAAAAAAACAGAAAATCACCTTGGAAGCAAATGAGTGAAGTCGTCTAATCTTAAAATATGAATTCCATGAGTAGCATATATTTTCTCTACATCCTGAAAAAAGGACCGAATATTCAAATAATCCCTATTAATTCTGGAATATAAGTTGAATGATCGAAAAAAAAAAGCAGTGAATATAAGCAGGAAGGACCTTACCCAAACAACTTCATCACGGAATGGTTGATCATAATAATCACAAACGGCAGCATAAGATCTACGAAAATTATGACATGGTAAATATGGTCGGCTGCTAGGCAAAAACCAAAATTCGTCATATAAATCAGCAGGGAATAATTCCAACAAATTCCTGCGTGTACTTTATAAATATTAACATGCAAAACAGGAGGATGTAAGAAGAAATTCTATCAGCTTATGTCATATGTCAAATTCATTTCATTTTTCCGCTAAAAAGTGTGAAATTCATGAGAAAGCTTTTGGCAGATTCATGACTTTGTCTACCTTAGATTTTGGATAATATCCGGAAAATAATGCTTAAGGGCAGAAAGAACAGAAAGAGCAATTTTTTTGGAACCATTTTCTAAACGAATGAAAATGCGCCTTTTACCCAGAAAACTTTCATCGAGACCAAAGCACACCTAAAAAATCATTTTTGGGAAGAAACACATTAACGCTGAAGATGAAAATGACCAATAAGTTAATAAACAACTGTTTTTGAAAATACGACAAGAGATAAATAATTATGGTATTTGCTTTAAATAACTGATAAATCTCTCTGGTACTCATCGGTTTGATAATTGGATTCACTGTCTTCATGTATGGGACCTAATATTCCCTTAAGTGACCATTCGCTGCTTCAGAATTTCATTAAGTAATGATTATCTGTTTTATACATGTCCAAAATGATGATAAACAATTACTTCATTATCGTTAACAATTTGAATAACACGTATTGATAAGATATGGAAAGTTCGGTCAATCTTTAATGAAGACGGTGTTTTCCCATGTAATATGAAAACTCGAAATTTTGATAATGCAAAGATTCGATTCTCAAACTTGTCTGTTTTCGTACCATACTCTACGCTACACGCCAATCGACAATCCCAAAACTTTGATCCAAATATGGAATTACACTTCTCTGTAATGACAAGAAAAATGACAATCTGGCACTTGTATCAAGAGAACTAATATAGAGAAACTCAATATGTGTTCATCTAATGTTTCTATCAAAGGTTACTATTCTTCTTTTACATGGAAAATTACATGCATGGTTCGAGGCACTGTTGTGAGTGAAAGGACATTTAGCAGAAATAAGTGTTAGTAGAAACATGAAACTTCCGTAGTTCTCAAAAGAGATAAAAATTTCAGGACAAAAAATTTTAACTTCAAAGTTAAATGGATCAAAATATATAATTTATTACTTCCATCCTCTTTCTTAATCAAACAAAAACATTTGATACCTTGTACATAGCTACATAATTCGGCGTGAACACCTCGTGATAATGACATGTCTTAGATGGTTTCTACCCTTTACATACCCATTTACTTCACACCATTACTTATACTTACAACCTGAAATTGGCATTTGTTGAATTTGTAAAACTACAGATGAATGTTTGACAAGAAATATACTGAGATGTGAAATGCAAGGAGTTTTAATCAATGAAGTTCCAAATTAACAATTAGCCTTTTTTCTGGCATCCATAACAGTGGCTAGGGAAAGCAACATTATAGCTACTTGAATGAAAAAGAGAACCGATGAACCAGGAACAATACGTAAATCCCCACACTCTTCTATTCTTAGAGATACCGCCCTCACCTCCCAGAACTTCTTTAATCCCGTCCTCCTTTTGACTTGTCATCAGGGCAAGATAGCTGGGAATTATCTGGGCATTCGTATGACGAAGCGCAAGCTAGAAGGAACACATCGAAACGTAATGAAAGCAATGCAACATAAATATCCAAAGAATCGAAGAAAATGCATAAGTATAAGTACTCGTTTGGTATTATAGAATAACATGACATGTGAACATCCGCTGGAATAGGTAAAAAGTAAGTATACTCAGCAATATAGTTGAAAAAAAAAGTAGAAAGTAGGCTTAAGAATGTTGATCCCCCTAATTATCATAACTAATAAGGTGATATGATAAAAAGACTATCGCTTTATTTTGTTATCAATTAGATCACAATTAATTCATGTCAATTACCTCGTTTCTCTCACTCTCATTCATACCTTAACTTTTCCTTTCCATTGCTATTTTTTCCTTTCCCTTTTGTTTTTATTTCCTCTTATCCCTACTTTCTGCATCCTTATTTTATCGATATTTTCCTTTTCTTTTAACTTCAATTTTCTTTCAAATAGTAAATTTTGGCAGTAAGTCAAAGTACATGCTGCAAGAGTACCACTATGGAAATGTAAACATTTAACGATTAGTACTTTCACAATCTATGTGATATTACTATCTATCAACAATAAGTTAATCCCCGCATTCTTCTATTCACAGAGACACCGCCCTCACCTCCCATAACTTCCTTAATCCCGTCTTCCTACTGATGTGTCATCATGGCAAGATAGCTGCAGAACACGTATGAGAATGACTGCTGCAACGCTATTCCTGTAGGAAGACAGACTTCGAACTTATGAAGTTTTTTTTCCCAGTTCCCATTTTCTCCTCTTTTTTTGGTTCGGACTTATTTGTATTAATCAATATTATCATAATAAGATAGACATCATTTTTATGTCAATCAAATACTTTAGATCGAGATTTTCTGGAAGTTTTTTCCTTTTTTTTTCTGGCGATACTCTTGTCTTTGATTGATGAATTGGGGTAAGGTATTTGTATAGTATATATGCAAATTCTGGTAAATTGTATTGCTTGATCTATTTCGATTATTTCCAGATGTCTTCATTCCCACCAGTTCGTAAGTGCTCCTATTATTACTGAGATATTGTTCCGTTTTTAATTTTCTTATATTCATTAAATATCTAAATGTTTCAAAACTTAAATCTCTAAATGTCTAGTCTTAAATCTTTGCTTAATTTTGCTCGGTTTCATGGCTGAAAGTCTTAGTTTCTATCCAATCTGCGGGAAATGTTGAGAGTGAGATAAATTTTTCGATAGCATGGTAATCATCAAAAAATTATAGATTAGGCTTAATTGTTTTGGATTATTTTTGCTTCTCAATTTTTTCCCGTATTTTAGCTGTTTCCAAGCAGTCATGGAGACACCTTATACAAAATGAGTCGTTTTTCATCAAATACGGATATGCGAGAAAGACATACTTTTTGCAGGCATACCACAAAGGCATACTTTTTGCTCAATCATATACACATGCTGATTTTGTTTGAGTATTGATGAATATATTTGAGTATGAAATTCGCTTACTATGGTAATGTCGTATAGTGGAATTCGATGGCATTGAAAAGATAAAATGTCATTTAAATGGCCATGGCAGTATGAATTTCCACCATTTTTCACGTGAGTTATTCAAAAAAAAGAAAAATGATTAAGAAAAGACTCCTTTTCACGACCACATTGTGAAGATAGTAAGGAAGAGAATTTTTTAAGCATCAATAAATGTGTACTTTATGACGATAAAAACTTTTAAATTACTCAAAAACTTCTCGAGTCACTAATTTTCTTACGCTATCATTAATATTCTTACGTCATAATTACTAACATAAGGTGATTCATGATTCTGTCCTTAGTTGTTAAGCAGTGAATATCAAACTTATCATTGATACTTATTACCTTGGTTGTCTGGTGTTTTTTATAACAAAACTTTCCAACAATCATACTTATGTCTTTAATGCCGAGCAGATAAATTTCAGACGTTGACACAATTTTCAGGCACCTTCTCTTGCTTCTATGTGTTTATTTTATTTTAGCTTACAAACTACCTTAATAACTCGCGAAAAGCAATTGGAAGCTTGGAGTCGATTAGTCGTCGATTATTGCCAGTTTCATAAAATTTATACGGTGAACTTGGCAGATATATCAAATTCGGAATTGTTCGTTAATAGTGCCCTCAATCGGAAATTGCCATTGGACGGTGTACGAGTAGTGTTCGATTATCTTGAACATAAAAGTAGGTAGCATTGGCAGTCTTTTTTCTTTTCCTTTCTTTTTTCTTTTTGAGATCTTATTCGCTTTTAATTTCTGCTTATTTTTATTCTGAAAGTAGAGCTTTACCCAAAATACTCAGAAGTAATGGAACAACAAATAATGCTGTCCCGTTTCCTCATGCCTTCCGAAAGGACTCCTTTCCTCGATTCTCCTGTCTCTAATGTAATTGTGATGCAAGTAACACTAACTGGAACTAATTTGAAATTCTTTGCGAAACCTTCATTTTTTAATTATGTTAAATTTATGAGTGCAGAGGTTAACGATTGCATAAATAGTCTGATTTGCAGGACATATCGACTGGTTAGATAAAAGCAAAAATCGGTGTCATATCTACTGGAGGCGTCCGGAGGAGTGGGCTATACTGATATACGAGTGGGCAGTAAGTAACAGTTTACTCAATACTCCCTGCACGTTATACGAAATAACACAAGGAGACGACGTTACACAGGAATGTCAGTTGGATACTTATTTTTTCACTCTTATTCCCCAAGCATAAATTTCTTTAGCAATGCAAAGAGAGAAAAAGCCTTAGATTCTAATAATCGGTCATAAAGGTATTCAAGCATGCGTTATAAGATTATATGTAAGCAAGGGGGAATTTGCATTCATCGTATATGTACAATTTTGGGAAGCAAAAATTAACTTTAAAGGTTTCATTGGATTAAATAAATAGTTTGATCATTGAAAGATTGAATTTTGATTTCATGCTAAGTGGACAATAGTGAAATCCTTCGGTTAATCTAATAAGTTCATTAATTATTTATTCAACGTTTAAAATGAATTTATTTTTTGACAGGAATTTCTGTGAACTGCACATTTCATTTATAGCTTTTTACGGTCTGGATAAAGACGTATTGTTGAAATCGTTAGCAATTCTTGTTGAACAACGTCGTGCTCAGTTGTTGAACAGTGGAACCGGAACAGAAGGCGTGAAATTTCTGCAATAAATTTACTGTGTAAGTTCCAATTTTAACATATTTAAATGATTTCGTAGTTCCGTATAGCTCAGGATTGGTATGTAAAAGAAGTTAAACTTAGTTCATTTCATTATAGGAAAATGGTGAATGAAATCAAAACGCTGGGAAACTTAGTGAACAGCAAGGTGAGTTGAATCGTTTAACTTTTCTCGAAAATGATGGTTTAAGTATTCGGGAATGGTATTAAAGCTAAGCTTTATTAAAGCTGTTTATTAAATCTTTTTCTTTTTTTTGTTAAAGCTAGCTTTAAGGGATAGTATTAAATTCTTCAAGTAATTGGAAGTGGTAAATGTTTCATTTCCCCGAATTTGCGCCAATTTTCTATTGCTTTTAAAATAATTTTTAATATGAGCAAAAAAAAAATTCTTATCAGGATTGCAGAATGCTTTGGAAAAAATTTTTATCATATATCGTTCTCTGAAATATTCTTAGAACTGCTGTTTCTTTTTCTTTTTTTTACAGATTACTGCTGTAAATAGTACGGGTTCCGGGTTTTTAAGCAATAATGAAATAATCGAAGAGGGTGATACAGTGATTGTTTATGTTAATTATGGGACGTCCTATGCGGTGGAAGTGAGACGTGGTCTCATTCTCACAATGAAATATGGTGCTTTGAAGCATGAATATCTTATAGGAAAACGGTGAGTTAGATTGGATATATTAAATTATAAGTCAGCGAATTATTTTAAAATGGTAAGGAATGTTTAGAAGTTGATGATTTGCTTAATATGATGTGACATTAAAATATCATTTAAAGTTAATTATGCTTCCATTAACACTGGCATTTGGTCAGTATGGTGTTGGAGTGATCATAACTTGAAATTGAAGTTTTTTAGCGAAGAAAACTCTTTTTTTGTTTTCCTTTTCAGTTATGGATCTCGCGTTAGTGCTACAGCGGGTTATGTTTATGTATTACGTCCTAATGCAGAAATGTGGACGCGTGCTTTGCTTCGGCGGACACAGATTATCTACACACCTGATTGCGCACTAATTCTGATGCTATTAGATGTTAAACCGGGATCAGTGGGTTTTCGTGTATTCAAATATATTCTTATTTGAAATGACTTCCTGGTTTGGTTGATTACTATTTCACAGTTAGTTGATCAAAAAATTACAGATAGTTTGTGAATGTGGTACGGGAAGTGGTTCGCTTTCACATGCACTAGCAATAGCTATTGCACCCACAGGACACCTGTATACGCACGATATTGAAGAGCCAAGAGTCAAACAGGTCGAACTCGAGATGATGGTTAGTATTATCATTGCATGTTAGGTCATTTGTTCTCCCTAAAAATTATTTTGAATTCACCAAGTTAAGCAACGTCCCACAAACTAGGTAGTTTCTTCTTTTGTTATTTAACTTTACATTTCGCCCAAAAATTTACAGAAACATGGATTAGGTGAAATTACTACATGCGTGCATCAAAATGTTATCGAAGACGGATTTTCTGTGGAGAATGTATGCGATGCAGTGTTTCTGGATCTTCCTGCTCCATGGGTTGCAATCAAACATGCAAAGCGTGCGCTGAATCAAACACATGGTGGACGTGTGGTCAGCTTCTCTCCTTGCATTGAACAGGTGTTCACTTTTCCCGTGGAAAATAATCTGGATAGTAGGCTTTCTTTTATGAATGAAAGAAAAAACTCTTTTTTTTAAGCTGAAGAATGAAAGAGTTCCTTTGATTCAGCACTCAGTAGAATTATGTTGCAGATACAAAGAACATGTAACGCTCTTCAATGCGAGGGTTTTGTGCAAATCACTACAGTGGAATTAGTGCCGAGAAAGTTGAAAGTAATTGTTTTTGTTTTGCCTAACCTTTGTTCTTCGGATATGGAAATATATTCATTATCACTTTAGTGTAGATAGGGCATATGGAAGTTTATTATACGCGAACTTGATCAGCCAGCTGGTGTAGTTTTTTTTAGATTTGTTGAAGTTTTTGGGACATGTCTTCTAATGGTTAGAATTGGGCGCTCACTGACTGTGTTGAATAAAAACAATAAGAACGATTATTTGAAGCACTTCTTTGTATTTTGATCTCTAATCTCAGTTTATTTGGTGGCAAGAGTGCTTTTGATCTCACGATGCTCCCTTCTTTTAACGAAAGCCTTCAAGTTATCCACAATTCTGGATTTGTTGAACCTTAATATTCGTGAGTTACTTGAGTCACATAAGTTGCTATTTCGATATCGCTGCATGAAAATACAAAAGATGGTCGGGGCATTTTCAGACATGACATCTGCATAACCTTGATGGTGTCAAATCAGGGAAACGGTTGTTTCATCACTGTACTATTATCTTCAAGTTTTGCTTCTCGTTATTCACTGACACTGCCTCAAAGTAAAGAAAATATTGAGAGAATTTTATAAGGTCGAAAAATCAGCTGGAAAACTAAAAAGAAACTGAGAACTTGTATGTGTGTGAAATGGCTCATTATCCTATACTAAAACTGATTTAAACATTCATGAGTTGGAAGGAGTGTATCACCATATATTGATGGTACCAACCTGTGCTACTTTTTCGCTATCATGTAGCACCCAAAGAAGGTATTTTTCAGACAGCGACGTCTTTAACGTATATTTTCTTTTCTGTATATACAGATTTTGTATAATTTTTCATTTTATGTGTGCGATATAAATATGGATACACTGAAATCGTTCAATACACGAAACATTCTTGTCGATAAGAAGAGACGTTCGCAAGATAATGGAAGCGGAATTGTAGCATCGAAAAGGCCCAAATTGGAAGGAGATACAATGGCCGTGAGATCCGAAATGCATTGTGTGACGGAGCAGAAGAATAACCATAAGAGCTACACATCAGCACTACTTCCATTTCCAGCAACACAACCAACACACACTGGCTACATCGTTTCGGCAACGTTGTTACCATCGTTATCATCATAATCATGTGTAAAACGTTGTCTCTTTATATGCTTGGTTTTGTTGCATTTTCTTCTTTATTAACTATAAGTTTAAATCTGTTTATTTCATTCAATAGATTACTTACGACATTAATTCTTGCCTTCGCATGGTAATAGTTTATTATTATTATGTAGGAGTCTACATGGTTATAAATATTCCTTATATATCTATCCGGTGATTTGTTCTTTTTATGATTTACTTTTTACATTTTTTTAAAGATTGTTTGTGAAGTATTTTTAAAGAATAGTATATGGTTAGGACTATGTTGATTAAATTCTTTTTTTTATCCGTTAAGCTGTCTTTGCTTTATCGTCTTGTGTTGTTACAAGTAAAGATAATAATCCATATCTTAGTGTATCATAGTAATTCATTTAGGGATTATGCTTAAATGTTATTTTTTGTCTTGGTCATATATTAAAATAAGTAAATAGGATATTTCCTACATTTGGATAAGCTAATCTGATGTAAATATTTATCGAAATTACGAACTGATCATTCGTTCCAGCGTGTATTTTAATGACATTGTCAACAAGATCGTATGTTAGCCACATATGATGGAGACTCATAAAGTTAGCCGTTAGCCTATTCAGATTTAGATATTTTTTTGGCATATAATTATAAGATATTTTTATACCATGATGAACGAAATATTCACATCGAGATAGCTCCGAAACAATTTCCCATTAACTAGGATCGGATGTGAGCATGCCATATTACAACAATAGACTGACTCATCGTTTCTGTTTTTTCTTTTTTTTTATAAATCGATAATTCAGCTAATTGATTGCATTTCTACGTTAGAGCTTTATATATGAAGTGAACAGTGCTTTAATTTTTTGAAAAGCTGCTTTTAAAATGGAAATATTTGGTAACCCTCCAACTTTTTTCGTTTTTTTTTTTTGGTCTGTGTGTGTGTTTATTTACTGGTAGTTGTTATAACTGGTTTTTTAAATGCAGTGAGGAATACAGTGTTTTGTTGTTGTTCTATCGTATTCAACATAATAGAAAGGAAAGTTTTCGCATCTAACTATATTTAGATACTCAAATACCGAAATATCGATTTATAGCCATCGAGGGTTTTTATTCAATGAAAAAAGTAAATGGGACATAGGTGATAATGACGATTAATAGAACAACGTGAAAAACAAAGTATTATTTGCTAACTTAACATATTAAATGATAAATAATTATAGTGTTAATGTTTCAGAATAATTTTTATTGCATTAACCTGCTCAATTCCCACAATTCTAATTTTTTTTAAAAGTTATTTCCATTATTTAATTTTCATTACCTCAGTTAGTTATATCAATTTCAAATAAATTATATATTAAATGAAACAAATTTCAACAATTCTCTAATATATTATAATTTTTTGCTAATATTAACTAATCAATCCAATTACATACTTCAGTATTATACCTTTTTGTTTTCCTTTCCTTCTTATTCTCGTACGAATATATTAATATGATTAAATTGGTCCCCTTTTCTTTTACCATACAAACTTTGTTCATCCCTTCTTTCTTGCATTACAAACGATAATGTGACATGCAGTAGTAGTGGTAGGAATTGTCTACCGTCGCTACCACTACTATCATCACTACCACGCCAATCACCGCCACTACCATCTATTATTACTCCGTATACAATTGGTATTCATTGGTATAGCATCATCTAAACCTAAATTAATACCTTTGTCGACCCCGAAGACAAATTTCCTTTCCTATTGAACAATTCATTAAGCAGTAATTTTATCAAACCTTACCTTTTTTTTATCTATTTTTTTTCATCCGCTTATCTTTTACCTATCTCTTATCTCATTTTTCCTTCTCTTCCCATTTCTTCCTTTTAATATAAAAAAATTTATAATAGTGTAATTATGGAATAATATCAAAAAAAAAAAGGAAATCACATTACATCTTTCATCCTTTAATAATTTTTAATTTTTAAACAAAAAAGAAAGAAGGAATGTAATTTAAAAAATCACAAAGCATAATATTTTAAAAATTGTTTTTTAAACTTTTTCCTTTTTTTTCGTTTAATAAAAATTTCTTTTTTACCTTTTTGACTATTTCCCTCTTCTCTTAATTTAATCAACTTAATTAATTTAATCTAACTTCGTTATTGATTTGAATTTTTTTTTTTGAATATTGATCCAAATAATGATTTGTTAAAACTGATCAAAACTAATTTTGTCATGATGAATGAATTGCAACTAAGCGATGCATTGAATTATTTTAATACATTATTTAACGAAAATGATTTAATCAACTTACAGTACTTAACTGTGAAGTCTGTGTATGTGTATGTGTGTGTGTGTGTGTATGTGTATGTGTGTGTGTGTGTGTGTGTATGTGTGTGTGTGTGTTGTGTGTGTGTGT